CAGTAATACATGCCTCTGTGAGCCGGCTGCGTAACTATGAGCTATAATAATTATACGGAGCACAGGGGAGCCTTCGTAATTGTACGCATCGCATCACGATAAGTCTATTCATAATTATAAAGTCTCCCAATGAGCAATGGTGCATTGGACTGGCCAACATATTCAACTTCAAGCCACATCAGTGAACTGTTACATGGAAAGTGTGTTCTGCTCATACTGCCTGAGCAAACATCGACCAAGTTAAAAACCTGAAGCAGGAACAGGGTGCAAAGACAGTGATGTAATATTTCACGCCACAAAAAAGTAGATTTAGCAAAAAAAAAAAAAAAAAAAAAAAAAGGAGGGAAAACGATGTTGATATTTCACATATATTTATAATATATGCCTGTGGATCAAGATCAATCGGTTATTTACCCAACCCTGTGTCAGCAAGGCCCCTTTCCAGGAATTCCTCCATATCAATGTTGTGGAGCAGCACAGAAATAAAGTACAGCCTGAGCGTGATGAGGGTTCCAGGCTGCACTCAGGTCAGGTGGCTAAGCTGTGCTGTGCAACTCAAATGGCCCATGACTTACCACACAAGAAGGTATGCGAAGACTGATCATCTACTGCATGTGCAACAATATTTGCTTTATGGATGGCTAAAATGAATGAGGACTTTCCATGTTTCGACAGGCATGAGAGTCAAGAGAGATGAGAGTAGGGACCAAAGTTGGGTCAAACAGTTGTTACAATTAATTGTTAGAATTTAGTTCATTTTGCAAGGAGCACCAGATTTGGCAGTCGTTGCATTGCTCTGTGTGGGAAAGACCACCTATCAGCCACCTGAGTAGCCTTAAACAAACCATAAAAAAGTATTTCTTAATCACTGCTGGACACACGTCTCAGCATCTGCAGCTGTGATTTTACACCGACTTATCAGCCGCAGTGTAATACAGCTGTAATTCTTCATTCATTCTTCCGTATCCTTGCTGTAACCTGAATCTCTATTTCCCATCTTTTCCAGACTTACAGAAAGACAGCAGACTACAGTCAGTGTGGTTACTGAGACAATTTGATACACACGTCTGTGCTGACCTTTTACCTTTAACAAAATGTGAAGAGAAACAGGAAACACTGGATTTGCTGTAAACTGTAAACATTCCAGGTCTTTACCCAACCATACACCATGCCTTACCAGGTCTATATACTGTATATATAATGTTTTACAGTGTCGAACCTGTGGTTGCGCTTCCCACAGTGCAAAACAGACACTGCTGACGTGTTCATCCCTTCTATCTGGGGAGGGGTGAGGGTGCCGGGGTAAGAGTACTGGGCTTTTGTCCCACCACATGTCTATTGTGGCTAAACCTTTCCCTTGGGGGCAATTAGGACCTTTTAGTTTGTTGTAAGAGGACCTAAGTACGAGTGGGTTGAGCCAGGAAAAACATTTTTGAGCTAAACCAAAAACAGAAGCGCATTGAGCTCCTCTGCACTCCTGGACTTCTGAGCATCTCTCTATTAAGAAATGTGCAGGCCTGCACTGAACAGACAGGAACTGTGGCAGCTTTACAGGGGCAGGGAGGTGATGGGGGTGAGAGAGCTGGGGAGGGGGAAGGCTTCAACTCCACCTGAGGCCTTGCCAAGAGGCCAAACAACTCAAGACCAACAATGTTGGTGGCAAGGACATGCTTCACGAGAATCAAGAGTTAGGGGAGATCCATGTTTTGCTTTAACTTTCACATGGCTGGATGGAAAACTGGGGAGAGAGAAGTGCGACGGGTAACGGTATGTGGTGGGATCTGCCGTAGCGTGCAGAAAGCAAACACATGCATGTTGTTTAACACAACAGAGACGTGGAGCCAATGAAAAGACATTACTGTAAGTAAAAGCAGCTACAGCAGAAGTGTTAGTCTACACATGTGAGAGATAAGCGTTAAGAGTAGGTCTAAGTGTGTGACTGAAAGAGTTAATGTTTGCAAAGGGATGAAAATGAATGTGCAAATGTGTTTGAGAGATGGCGCAAGATAGGGAAAAAGAAACAGAGCAGAAGAGAAAGACAGGTAAGGCGTAATTAAGTGCACAAATTGTCTTCATGCGGGGACCTTATCTCCCTAAAGAAGGGAACGTTTCCCAGGGCAGGCCTGAGTGGATCAGCAGTGAACAGTGTTAGAACCTCTGAGCAAAAAGCCATGAGTGATGAGGAGGGGTTAAGAGAACTGAACCCATTTAAGTCACCCAAATAAGGGCTGTACAAGCCCATGATGGATGCTCTGGAGTTCCTGAGGGAGAGAGCGCTAGCAATGGGAAGGGTGATGGGTGGGGAACGAGCAGGGGTCCTACGATCCCCACTTAATAAAAACAAATTGGTTTGATAAACGACACAAGCTTAATGTTTTCAAAGAAATATGTGTTCTAATTACGAACAGTAACATAAGCCATTTTAAAATGTTGATGGTCCCATTCAGTGAGAATATGTGTATGTTACAACAAACAAAGAACGAGCAAAATATGGATTAAGACTGCAAATATGGCACACCATATTTTTTATATCAGTGACTTCAGACAATCTCTGATCTGAAAGGCCTGTCGTGAACAGGCCAAATGCAGCTGTTGTTAAGTAAAGAGCAACAGAATTTATCGTTTGGAGCCCTTTCAAAACACACAGCACTTATTAGTCTACTAAAAATGAAACACTTGAGTGGTGGAGGAGATGACTGCGCAACAGGCCAACATTTCTCTTGAGAGGTTCCTGTGTACCATACGGTGTTACACCAGGCTGTGCTGTAATAAACAGTTATAGTATGTTTAGACAGACCAAGAGCTTAGCATTCTTCCATTACCCATGTGTTCCCAGAAACTCCACAAGTGTGTCGCTTTACCTAAGTGCATGTTGCTCTGTGTGTGTATCTGCGTGTGCACACAGTTGCATAAATAATTGTGTGCCCTCAATAAAACATTTCATTGGCTTCCTCTCTGAATTGTTACAAGTGGTGCCATTATTTAACACAAGGCTCTGGGCGGCATGTAGAGGGCATGGGGGTGCAGCATACTGGTGCTTAACAAGCACACTTAACCCCAGCCGGCCATGCTAAGCCTGAAGAAAGGAAAGGTTGTTCCCCAGCAGTGACATGGCACAGGAGGGCAGTCAGGCCAGGGTAAGGAGAGGAGGGGACAGCATCATTAATGAACCAGTCTGGTCCATAAGCTCAATTACCGTACACTGGGTAAAGAAGTGTTCAAATTAAACTGGAAGGCAGGCACAGGGTAATTCAGGAAATTTAAGCTCAATGTGTATGGTTGCACATGTACTGTTAATAAGCCAAACAGAGTCACATTTGATTCCCTTAAGCCTCCATGTTGACGCTATGTTAAAAAGAACACTTAAAATTGTATAATACTGTAACAGGTATGTTAGTGCAGGTAAAAAAACTTTCAGCTGCAGATATAGAAATCATACTGCTCTAACCAGAAACTGAAGTAAGTACTACTATGTGTATGACATCTCCAGCCCGTGTTCACCTTAAGTTTATCTAAGTGGAAACGCTAAAAAAAAAATCACAGTGGTAAAACGCCACAATTTCCCCTAAGACAAGTCCTCACAGAGACATAAATCTGTAGTGTTTTTATAAGCTCCTTGTTATGTCTGTACTTCTATTTTGGTTGTCACAAACATGTTGCCTCACTCAGTCCAACATCATGGGAACCATTCAAAAGAAACCTAAACTCCACTCCCGAAAGAATGCTGTGTATTCGTATGTTCAGCTTATTGTCAATGTGTGCCAAGTATTCGAGTTGGAGAAAAAGCAAAAATGCTGCAAAAGATTAGAAGCTCTTCAGAAAGAGAAAAAAACTCAGATAGGGTGGTAAAACAAAAATGTAGGTGTGGACATTTCCAGCTACATAGTTAGACTAACTCTTCAAGCTCCCTAAAAAAAAGTAGTCCATGGGAGGGTTCAGGGATTCATAAAGTCTAGCAAGGTAATTGATTGCTCCTTGCGGGGCAATCTGTGTGGGATTTTGTTTTTCTTTTTTTCAGTCTGTAGGAACAGAAAAAACACACATGGGCCATTCTCAGCAATAGAGCCATTAGGGGGAGAATGACTGTGCAAGTGTGGGGGAGAGGGGACTGACAGCAGGATGAACACTACTTAAATATTACAGTACACACACTCACCCACACACCCAAAACCTAGCCTAAATACAGAGGCGCCCACTGTTAAAGCCGGGGCATTAGGAGATGCAACGGATGCGAAGACAAGAGAATCGGCTCTAGACAGGCGAATTAAACCGTGACCTGTGGTCCTCCGTTGAGTAACATTAGCGAGAGCTTCCTGTGTGCAGACACCACTCTGTTGACCGTTCATCATGGCCTGGGAAGGTGGACAGTCCCCATTACACACACACACTGACGCCCCACTTTACAATAACACGGCGGCAGCCATGACTCCACATCTGTCAGGGGGATGTTTAAAAAGAGTCATCATTATTACTCTTTATTTTGGAGATGGGTGGATGGGTGCAGGCTGATAGGAGGAGAGCCGTCTGGTTAACGTCGAGTTCCTCTCCTTAACCAGTGACTCGGGACAGGAGCGCAGGCTTGGGTTGGTGGGGGGGGGGGGTGGCAGACGGATACTGACTGGGAGGGGGGGCACAGATAAGGGATGCCCTAGGTCCGTTGGCCCGGGATCTTAAATCATGGTCAGTCACTCCCCAGAGTTCACAAACATCAGCATTCCCATCGCCCCCTTATCAACTGGCTTATCACACCGATCAGTTATCTGGTGCTCTAACAAACACGTCTGCTACCATCAAACACTCACTCCTCCACACACAAACACAGACACGCAAAATGAAAAATGCCAAAAAAACGAATCGAGAAAAACTACAACCTATTTTCAGTTGCATCTACTTATTAGACTTGATAATGAGCCATTTTTAAACTTGATATACTATACTGGTTTTTCAAAATAAAAAAAGGATTATGTGTGTTTGTGTGTTTATGTATGTGTAATTCTCACTTTTGTTCCCAATCAAAGAGACAACAGGCTGGATATCAGATTCCTCGTTGGCTTTCTTCACCATGCTGAACCAATCCTCCAGATCCTCGAAGCTCTGGTAGTTGGTGATATCGTAAACCAGGAGAACCCCCTGCATTGGAAAAACGTAAAGGAACAAGACAGCCCTCAGACTTTGATGTCTTTGAACAGCTCACCTTCACAATCCTGGAAGTGAGTGGACAGCCTAATTTCACATTCATTCACATTAACATGAGTAATATTGAGGGAGCGAGGGAACAGTAGGTGGCACTGCTCCTCTTCTTAGAGTGGGGGACAGATTCACACAGAACAGTTTCCAGTTTTGGAAGCTTGGTGCAGAATAGAGGTTTAGTTATCTGCTATCTGAGCTAATTGATGAAGGTTGTCTGCCTGGAGACATTTTCCTTCTCCATATGTAATCCTCAACAGCCTATGCAGCGCAGAAACACTCATGAAACAACATCAGACCCACGTTTGAGCAAACACTCAGGCCAGAAGGGGCTGTTTACACGAACACATAAATTAATCAAAGAGTAGACACAGATACAAGATCTGCTGGCATAATTCAAGACAAATTATCTCACAGCTTAACTATCTGCTATCACTGCTTAAACTTTTGCTGGAAATTAACGTGAGCCAAGGTAAATGTCTCCACTTTTACTGCATGATGCAACACGACTGAAGGGGTGTCTGTTGCTTTTTGTTCGGTAAGACACGCACTGTCACAACACGCAAGGCTGGTGACGACAGCTTAGGCCTCTGACAATTACTGTGAGTCTCCCTGAACAGCCATGATTGATTACAGGACGCACGGTGCTGAACAATAGGTGTGAAAGTTCCATACAGCGCTGACGTGAAACTCCCGAGGCAAAGTGTCGTAATGTGGCATTTTGCTTGAGAAGGAGAGAGACAGAAAAGGAAGTGCTGTAGACATGGGTGATATACAGAACCACCATTAGGGTAGAATTTAGAGCAGGGCACAGACATTGGCAAAAAAAAAAAAAACATTTAATTTTTTTCAACAAATCACTTTCACTATTTTTACAGCCAGGCTGATTCATGCAATGGAAAAGAAAAATGTTTGTCTAGCATCTATAGACATACATGACAAAAGTGCACTTGCATATAGTTGGTATATGATGAAGTTTCTGTGCCCAAATGTTATATCTTGTGCTGAAGTACGGGTCTTGGATTAGACAGACTGTGGTCTTTAAGTTGGCCTCTTCAAACAAGAGACATTCTGGAGGTGACAGACAGCACTTGACTATAGCAACACGGCTACCTGCGGACACTGATGTTGCTGGCACATGTATAAACTAGTATGCGCTGACACAAATTGCAGTGTTTGCAGAGAGTTTGGCTGTCATTTTAATGAACACATCGTTGAGTATAAGCATTAAATGATAGTAAATAGATCAATTAGTAGCCTATTTTTCCCTACACTCCTTCATGTATAAGCTGAGTATTATCAAATTGTGGGAATTACTTTGAATAATAAAATGCTTTCAGTATTGACCTACAGCGCACTGTGTTATCAACATGTGTTTAGTCTGCCAATAAAAACACCAAACTGTATCAACTCTGTAAAAAAGTAGAAATTTTCAAAGCTCTTATGACCTGTTTCACTCTCTGTGAGTTTGAATGAATTACGCTCCAGAAGGAGAGGGTGGCAGGCTCTGAATGAAGCTGCCGACACTATAATAGAAAACAACCTGAACAGGGTCACCTACAGGGCTATTAGAGAATTGGAAACTAATTCTTCCTGTGCTTCGTCCACAAGAAGCTACAGCAGTTGGTTGCACATCCTCAGGCTACGGGAGTCTAAGACAGATTGCATTTTTTTGCTTCATGCTGGAGGAATAAAAGACTACAGCACAAACCAGAGATGAATGTATAATTGTTAGGCAGAATCTAAAGTACCAACAGAGCATTTGATGTGAATTTGTGTGTGTGCCTTACATGAGCTCCGTACACATATTTATCCAGCATTTTTCCTCCTAACGTTTGGCCTCCAATGTCCCACACCTGCAGGGTCACGTTCAGATTGCCTGCAGGGGAGAAAACAGACAGAAATACCTCAGATATCAAAAAATGTGCACAAATCAGCTCTATAAAAGGTACCATAGAAGTTTAGATTAGTTTAGATTCCCACTTTCTTTTCTCAAAAATGGTTTTGTATGCTAATCAATTAAATAAATAAAAAACACAAATTGTGGGTTTCCACTCCGGATGTTTTTATCCTTTTTAATCATTAACTTGTTTGTTTTAACAAAGTCCATAATCCTGAGGAAATACAGAGTCAGCTGTAACTGGAACCTGTATTTTGGGTGAGCGATTTCTATAATAAATGTCAGCGTTGTTGATGTACATAATGGAAACAATAAATCAGCGATTAATCTTTCATGCTAAGCGCTCTTGCCTGGCAGGTCACCCACACCTCACATCCAAGAATATCCATCCCAGAGATTGAGGGGGATGAATAGGTACGCCTACCCTCTAATTTAAACATTCTCAATAGCCTGGCAGTAAAAAAATGACTTCTTATTAGCCTGGGAAGAGCTGTTTGCATTGTGCCATATCCTGCCAAGTTAGGAAAGTGAGGAGACTTATGTGCTGTTAAGGAAAACAGCAATAATTAAACACAAAATAAGAGGAAAAGAAGACTCCTGTCTAATGCCTGTGGAAAGAGAAAGAAGGAGTGAATGAGAGGGAGAGAGAGAAAGACGGGCACAAAAACCAAATCCAAATGAATATTTTCTTCCTCTGGAAAATGAAAGGGGTGGTTGAAAAAAAAAAGTCCCCCCAAAAAAAGAGAAGGAGGGAGGACCAGACAGCGAGGAGTTTATGTTGGTGTGATGAGGGCCCTGCGCTGGGCTGGAGCGGCGATGGGGAGTAGAGCGTACACTGTGGACACGGCTGGACGACTCAACCCCTTCATAAGTCCCTTTTTTAAAACGAGGGAAGGAAACGCTGAGGTTCACAGTCACTACATCCAGACTATACAGTGTCAATGTAAAGTTACATTGAGGAGCGCAATGAAGAACGGCCCCTTGGTGTTATAAAGAGCCATCCCCGCCCTTCCACCATGCTTGGACACTAGCTTTATTTATGTTTCAAAGATTCACGCTGACTCAACAGCGCTGACATTTTTCTGCTTATGCTTTGCAAGAAGTAAAAACAGCGAATGTGAGCCCAATAGACAAACCTTACAAATTGACAATAATAAGGTCACAAGAAAGTTGCGCTGATAAGATAAATGTCCTCTTCGTGTGACATGAAGTGGATGTGGACAAAGCCGCTTCCAAGAGTTAGGATTTGACAGAATTTATCAAGTAAATTTCACCTCTAGTCAATCCCCTTCACCGCCTGTACCTCATTGGTTTGGCAGAGACATCTGGAAGAGGTATTGTTATAAAAAGCACACACAGAGGAGGCTGTTGTGTGCCAGTCGGCCTCGCCTCACCTCTCCCTGCGTTGGAAAATGTACATTAAGTTTGACAAGCTGGGCCTTCATGGTGAGAGGGGCCAACGCTGGCTATAGGCTACTCTCCCCCCTGCTGCAAAAGACCCTTACAGCCCCATAGAGACCCGGAGAGCCACACAACCTCTCCAATACAAGGCAGTGTGGGGGTCCTCCTAACGAAGTTTGGGACCACCCAGCTCGCTGAGCCACCCTCCTCTTCATCAGCTCATCAACACCCAATTCTCCAGAAAATGGGCCATTTAACAACTTCGTGTTGGACCCAGTGTTGTTTCTGCCCCAGTGATAGAGACGTATGTACACTATATTTAAACAAAGGTTACAGTTTAACACTCGAAAGATCGCTGATTGTTTCAGGAAAGAAACTTACTGGAAAGAGAAGTCAGACGATTAACAGCATTTGTTCGAGTTCACATTAAGGAGTTGAGCTCAGCCTGTGCTTATGGTTGGCTCTTTTCATCCTGACTCCACCACAACATTTTTGGGGCTTTAGTTCTCCTAAGTCTCATAAGCTGAAACTGACACAAAATCAAAATAGGATCCTTCAGCCAACTCACAAATCAGCATAACTTTTACTTTTAGCACTTAATTTGCCCTTGCTTAATGTTGTTTTATTAGTAATGAAAGAATGGAGGCACTTTGCAGATTTCTGGGGCTTAGGCCTTGGCAGAGTTTTAGAAATGCCATTTAAAATGCTGAAAATCCCCATTTCACATGGTAGGAAGTAAAAATGGAGTGCTTTCGTCTAAATATAGCAGTAGTCAATAAACATTTATTTTACAGATCTAAGGGGGATACAGAGTGTGGCTTTATTTCTGCGGGTTCAACATAAACAAATAAGAACATGAATGTTTTATGTGGTGGAGGACAAAGATCAGTTGAACTCGGGGATCAGCGATATGGATATAAAATGTTAATGTATTTACTCTTTACTGTGCCCACAGAATTATGAGCAAGGCTCGCCCGTTTGGACATAAGCTGTCCATTGGCCTTGTGGAGTCAAAAAAAAATGTGCTGTTTGCTCTGGAGAGAAGAGCTTTCAGAGTGAATAAGCCTGAGAAGTGGCAGACACTCTACAATGAGGAGCTACCAGAAAAGACACATTCAGCTCCTGAGTTAACCTGAAGAACAAACTCTGCTTGGAAAAAGGTAGGACAAGAAAACATGAGAAATAAAAATATGACAGAAAGCTACGGTGGAACAACAGGCCTCTTTGTAACACTTTCAATTAATATTCTGGATCTTTTTTTAACATTGATAATCTTAAGCACACGCACACATCCGAAACCTTACAGTCAATATTAAAGCGTTACAAACAGCCGCTAACAGTTAAGCCAGTCTGTCTAAGTACAATCTTACTAAATGAACAGTCCACAGTCTGCCACTATGTGCTTGTGCAACACGCGTATCTGTGCTGAGTCTCTGAACAAGCGAGTCCTCCCAAAAGATTATGAAGGTGTCTCACCTGGAAGGCTTATTCTCTTCAGAAAGAAATCCAGGCCGATGGTTTGTTTGTACTGCTTCCCAAAGGCCTCCTGTGCAAACCTGGTGGTGAGTGATGTCTGAAACGGGGAGACAAAGGGAGAGACACGAAGAATGAGTGCCAACACCTCCGCAGCAATCAACAGCACTAAAAATATGTTAATTAAAGCAGTTAAGTGTTTTTAAATGCTTTCGGGACGAAAGAGAAAGCTTGATTCAGTGCATAGTATTTGCATAACTAACAATATTCACATATATATATGCAAAACATAAAAAACAAGTCAATATCACAGCATGGCCCAGGGCAAGATGCAAGATGCTGCAAAACTCCATCCACAGAAAATAAAGATGATATTAAAGAACTTCTTGAAAAGGTTATATTTCGGTGGTGAGGAGAAGTAGAAAACTAAAAGTTGATTTCATTCATACTGACCAACAATATTTCTTTTCCTAAAATGTCTTAAGAATACATCACATCACAATGCGATGCAACTTTGAAGTATAGTACAGAAGTAGTCTGCGGGACATTAATTTTATCATTACAAATCCATTTTAAGCACCATCAATGATTGACTGGAAGGTACGCTGATGTAATTGTCTGCCTCCTCTGCTGTCTCACTACTCAGCCACGGTCCTGACAGTGAAAATCAACGTGAATTACAAAAACAGGTGTCGGAGTATGTGTCATGTCTCCAGACTGCAGACCTAATAATTGCCACAAATTATAAAACCTCCATCACTGTCACTGTTGTGTTTGAGGAGGAAAAAAAATAGCATGTTAGGGGCTCTCCTGAAATCCATGGGAATCCATAGCACAGGCTTGACATGCCAAGTTTAATTCATTTTGATGGATGAGGATGGGGAAAAAAATGAAGTGCTGAATGTCTATTAGCTATCTTTAGAGCAGTGTGCTTACATAAACACAACAGAGACGTGAAGCAATGGGATTCCCTGAGTGTTCATGTGGCAGCAAATGCATTTTAATGTGGCACTCGACAATCGCTGAGGGTTAGAGGATTTAAAACTAAATTCTTTCTTTCAATCCACTAAGCTTTCACTTGAGTTTATGCCCTTATCTACCTCGATTCATGCTCAGAAGGTTTACGTTTTGCCAAATAATGTTTCAAATAAGACTGAATTTCTATTAAATGACTCCAGAGGAACAACGTAATATTATTAGGAAAAACCTTATCATGGTTTACCCGAATCTTCTTTAATTAAACAAGACTCTATTTGGCTTTCTTAAAGTACTGATTTGTCATTGTGGATGACAACTTTAATGTAAAACCTTTATGTTGATTCCAGCTCTGATTTTTGTAAATGTAATTGTTTAAATAAACCTACTGAATGTGTAATCCAGACTTTTGCTGGTGGATTTCTTGATCAACATTTCCTTGGAGGTGCAGAATATAGTTTTATCCACCTAATTTCACCTGAAGTTCACTAACCTACAGACTTTATTTTCATCTCAGCCTGCAGAGCATGTCACAGGCTCAAGAGTGACTGAAAAATTACTAGAGGTGACTGACGCAACAAGGAGAAAATCGGCCATTTAAGTAGCCCAAACAATCACTGACAACACAGAAATAACAAGCTCGGACAGCAAAAATTTATTCCACATGCTCGCGTTGGCCTAGTCGGCCATTTGTCTTGGCATTCCAGTAGCTTGGCTCTCCTCCCTCAACGTAGTCCTTTTTTTCCAACGTACAATTGGAACTAACCAGCGAATGTAAAAGCTGGCGTAATCCTGACACTCCAACAGAGAACAGCACAGGGTCACCAATGATAGCAATGCCGGGAAATAGGGGAAGTTCTACTGAAACAAGAAACTGGGAGAGAGGGAAAAAAATATGGCAAGCTGACTATGTCCATGTGATGCAACTCATATGAGAGATGCAGTGCATTTCTGCAGCATCGCAACAAAACTGTCTCTTTATTCTCCTTAAACAGTTAAGACAGATACAAATGTCGGTATTCTGATGAAGTATTCTGACTGTAAATAACATTGCTGGGGTGCTGGGTCCATTCATTTGTAAGACCTGTACCTCAAGTTCCTTTTTACCCTATGGGTAAGAGAACAGCAAATATTTAGAAAAACTGAGTGGCTTATAGCTCAGGTTGAAAAATAGACCTGTGTGTAAGTTAGGCCCAGCACCTTAAAGAGCCTGGCTAAATGTGAGACTCCATATTTTAAAAACATCTTGCTCAGGTGGACAAGCCTTCCCACATCTCCCTATATTTCTGAATGGACAACCAACCACAAGCGAAAATACCACCGAAACTGCTGTCCAAGAAAAACTGATCCGATTGCAATTTGCTGAGCAAATTGACATTAATAAGGGGGGAAACGGCATTCAAGATGTCAGTCAGTGGTGCCTGCTCAAAATGGGGGGCAGGGCTCCTGTTTTCTGCCCAAAACAGACAAGCAGGTAAGTCATTCAGACAGTGACGAGCTGACACCTGGCAGCAGTGTGAGGAGGGTTATTAATGTAGCGTATCTACTGGGAACTGAGTTGTGTGTGTTCTCTGCCACCCCCTCCCCCCCCAAAAGAAAATGTCGACTTTCCAGAATGAGAACATTCATTTTTCTCATTGGGTCTCACCATTACTGCTACATTCATTTTCTTTCTCCCAGAGGAAGGAGAGATTAGTTAGGAAAGGGGATGTGTAGCTGAAAAGCACTTGACGTCCCTGCCTTACATTCACACTCATTCATTCCGGGATTGGAGATGCACTGAAGAAGAAACATAGCTGAATTGTCATGACAACCTCCTTGCTTTACTGCAAATGATTGTTTGGTGTGACTAGGAAAAAATTCCACTGTTGTGGATGTAAGTTAGGCCTTTTTCATCTACACCTCTGAGATGATTTTAATAACACACTGAATGAGTCAGTCCAGTGGTTTTGAAAGGGAACAGAGACTAACAGCAGTCCTAAAGCTTGTGTAGAATTAGCAAAGACAGAGAAAATGCAATGACAAAAGGTATATTTGTTCACTGTTCAGACATTCATAAAACAAGTCTCCACACATGACTCTATTCCCATTGTTAGTTTTATGTTATTTTATTATCAAATGAGAGCAGAGCAGAAACATTTCTCATGTGGGCTGTCTAGACATGATTTTCTTAAATGGGGCCTCACTCTGAAGCCAAATGCATACAGGGGTCCTTGGCCAGGAGAAGAGAGGTACACTGATGGAAAACAACCATCAGCTGCAAGAGCCAGGCTAAGTAACTGTCATACTCTGTGTTATACTGTACAGTGCAGCATTTTACCCCAAGATCACTGAGCAGTAGCTGCAGCCCCAAAGTGCATGACAAATGTGGTGAAAATTCATCATCTAGCCGTACTTCCTTTTCCAAACAATTGAAAAAAGCGTTTCATTTAAATAAACTATTTGAAAAGTGAAATTTTAAGTCGATGTTGTGCGCTTGCCTTAAAGGTGTTACGTATGTGTGTTACTTCATTGTCTGTCTAAACTGGCCCAGTGAGTGTCACATAATTTAAAAGTAGGCCATACATCTGTGGTACATTTTGTCCAGTCTATACTAAGTATCTGTACAGTACAACTACCTGTTAAAGGCTTTTCACCAATCATTTAAATGAGCCCCTTTAAAAGAGACACCTGGATTAGAACGGCAGATAAAAGTATAACAAAACAACAATATGTTATTTCTTCACAGTCTAAGCCGATGAGCTCAGTTACTACAAAACACAGCACCACCGGCACAAGGCCTACAGCTACGTTCAATGGCACACGCAACGTGGATTAAGGGCTGGGTAGACTTAATAGGTTTAGAACAACAGATGTGTGCCAGATTAAAATCCTCAAACTCAAAACTACACGTCCCTTAACTTTGTAAAACTGGCTACTGGATTTCCAAGATAAATTCAAAAGTGAGAAAAATGTTTTGTAGGTTGTGACACTTTCCTTCACACTACAGAAAAAATAGATACAAATTTTACAAAAAGTTCTTGTGCTGCATGATTTGTGTATTAATCCTAGTACTTATGCAGTCATTACAATGTGTGATTAAAACTCAGTTACTGGTTGCTATTTCAGGTCCATATTGCGATTATTTTGACAGATATAGATTGCGATTCACAATTATGTGGGAATGATCACTTTTGCACCACAAAGTGAATTTTCACTTAAAAAAAACTGCTAAAATCCTGATAATGTAAAATTTTTGGGGGTCTATAGCAAACAAACATGTTTTCTGCAGCACCACAGTACTCCTATATAAGGCTGTTTTGTCACACATTTGACTTTTATCTTGCGACTAGCATATTGGACATGGCCATATTGTGATTTTGATAATGTTTTGATTAATTGTTCGGCCCTACTCTCCCCTATCAATAATTCAACAGTCTCAAGCTCCGACTGGGATAAACACCCTCATCCTCAACCTGACATCAGTGTGGATGAGGAACCTCAGACAAGCTTATTATGTAATATACAGTATGTACATCTTATCAGTTCTGGGAGACTTACCAGAAGCTCACACTTGTGCTCAGGCATACCATCGCATCACAGATTTTCTGTATGATGTTGACGGCAGCAACTTACTTATTTTAACTAATTTTATTTCATTGTTTAATCTCATATCAATAAAATTGTTAATAATAGTTACTTAACTGCAGTAATGGTACAGTTACGCAATAAAAATAATATAATGTCAGGTTTGCTGCCTACGTTCAGAATCTCTAACGTCCATGTCTGTCACTGCAAACTATAAGACCTCATCAACCTCCATCCACCACATGGACCTTTTCCTCACAATTTCATTTTGTGAGTCCTCCTGTACATTACAGCTGAATAATGACCAATCTATTGAATCGCATGAGGTCAACAACAAAGGAAGCCCATCAAACAATTATCTTCACTGTCTGTACAAAAATAGGTTTTATGTATTAGGTTGACAAAAGTCAATACCATCACTCCTCTTGTTTTCCAATAATTATTAACATAAAATACTGGCAACGTCTCCTTGCCCTCCCCAGTGATATTCATAACTATCATACTATTCCACATAAGCTTTCCAGTACTAATGAGTTACTTTTTAAGCAGAAGTAACTTGCTAAGACTGAATAAGTGCAATGTACAATTAACTGTTTATAGTGATCAACTTGGGGTCCTAAAAGGGTACATTTACAAATAATCTGCGTACAATAACCCTGAGACTACTTCTACTGCATCTGTAAACTATTTATTATTTATTTTTCCATTGCTGGAATTCAGTTTCTTTTCTAAAACATAAATATAATCATTCAAATACATCAATCCATGCTGCGCATACTGCATACACTGTATACCTCATGTACAGAAATAAAACTGCATGTAAAATATTTGTTTCAGCATCCTTTGCACTATTGTCTACTGTCTACAAATGTTATTGTTTGTTTACATTATGTCTATTTTGCTGAGCTTGTTGTCCTCTTTATTTATGCCGTCAGTCTGTGTTTGTACATTGAGAGCAAGGTAAACCAGGAGTCAAACTCCTTGTAATGTTGTACGCTAACATTTATAAGCATGGACAATTGTCTCCCACACTGAGCATCAATATATTTCTGTCAGCTGGCCGCACTGTCTCTGACTCATGGAGACATATAAGCATTATATGCATATTATTAGCATTTGAGACACTGCATGTGTCTTTCGTGTGGATTTGTTTCCTTTGAACGTGAACAACACAAGACAGAAACACATCACACTGCGAAGTAGAAGCTAAGAAAGTGTTTACGCCACAATCCTAAACGACCATTCATATTCCCTCATGTTGTCTTGCTACCACCGCTAGCCACGGATGTTGTTAGCTAATAGTCCAAGTAGCTATGTACCAGCGTCGGTCGCCATGGTGACTGGGCAGCGTCAGGATGAGCAATGTAAACATGTAAACAGCACAACACTGACAACAAACAACAAACAATAAGACACTGACAGTGTGCAGAAGTTCAATGACTATCTTCTACAGTAGCGTTGACTATAAGTTAATATATGTGTGTGTGTGTGTGTGTGGTGGTCTCACCTTCCCACACGCTCCGTCTCCAATCACTACAATCTTCAGCTGCCTGTCCTGGCTGTCCTCCTCCGAGTCCGACATGACGCCGAAATGTGCTCCAACTGTGTATGTGGGAAACCGAAGCAGTAGAAAACGGTCACAGGTTGCTGAATCTGGTTATCAGGCTAATCACAGATGGATTAAACGACTGTGGAGTGGGCAAGCGGACGCCATTTTGACTCTACTAACACTGCTGCGCTGCTCGGTATGATCCCCTCACACACACACACACACTGCTACCTCGGCGAACACTGGTTGTTCGGGTAAAACGGGGGTACGGACTACAAAAAAACACACAGCCGGGTGCCAGGTTTTGGCATTTAAGTTTACAAATATTTTCAGTATGGCCACGAAGCCCTTTGCCTTCACGGGAAAAGGTCAGAACCGGAAGCCCAATCACCGGCGGTGTGGTTGCGTCCTGTCTGTGACGCGTCGCCGTTGCCATGGCTACAAGGGTCAAAGTGTGAGTATAAAAACATTAGGACTACAACAGAAAGTAGGCAGAGCAAAAAAACACAAGAATTTACTTCAGTGCCACACTTTGGTACATTGTTTTATGTATTTCACTGGAGTATTTCCATGTTCTGCTACTTTACTCTCTCCACTACAGTTCACCTGCAGGGTTTTGACAGCTGTAGCCAGGTTAGTAGTTAGCCCTACTCTGCAGGGTTTACACAACATATGATCATCTTATGAAATATGATGTATTGCTATAAAATAAACTACCAAACTGTAGGCTATAGCAAGCAATTAAAAGCTCCACGTCGACCACAAACATTAAAATGATGCTCACACCTTCATGCATGAGCAACAATAATCCAATCATATATATGACACACTGAAAGAAACTGAGTATTTTTTATAGACTAGTGTGGCATTGCTTCTTTTACTTGAGTAAACGATCTTTATACTTCCACTGCATAGGTCTTATTTAAAATTTAATAGAGTATGATTTTTTAAATGAGTGATAATTAATCATCCTTCCTTCGCTCGCTTTCTCTTTCTCACACACACACACACACACACTCTTACACACTGTGCCTCCCTTATGTGTATGTTCAGTGCCTACAGTCCTTCCACAAATAGACGTATAGAAATATATATATTTAATAAGAATTTATAATAATAATATATTAATATCATTCTGTGTAATAGCTTATTAGCAAGTATATACATTTTTATCTGGAAACTCAGTTTGACTGTAGTAGTAGCAGATATCTGTAATATATACGATTTATAATGTACTTTCAAGACCCAACTGCGTTATGCTTTAAAAAGTTGCTTTCTTATGAGCTGTCTTTCATCCCACACACACACAGTTACACACATTACACACACAGGCACTATGTCATGTCAAACCGTATCAAATTCATCTGGAGTGCTGATAATGATGATTTAGGTTCACCTGAATGAAAACACAGATCTCTGCTGTTAAACAGTGTAAAGTCTGAAGATGGCCAATAAACACTTTCAAGTGTTTTTTAACTTAAACTGTCACAGACTCTGCAGTGTTAATCAACTTTTCAACCGTTAACATCAGTCCTGAAACATCCTGTTCATAGATCTATTTCATTGTTTGTTTGTTTTTCTGCACTACTCAAGTCAAAGTTTAACAGTCCCGATTTGCCACAGTCTAAAGGAATATCTTACCAGCTGTGCTGTGTGATCGCTCTGGATGACACACTGATGTATTTACCAAATGAAGTATGACTATTAATGGCTTGGATAAAGTGACGAAATAGAACATTTTAACACAATTATTTAGTGACATTTCTCTCTAGTGTATTTGTGAATTATTTCCAATTAGTTCAAGATTCAATGCAATATGAACATAACAAAATGTATAAACCCACAGCAGAAAAATAAGAAATCACAATTCAAGGTTGAATTAAGTTTAATGTTTCTGCATGAGACACTTTATTCTTTTTTTTTTTTTTTTCATGTTTGTTCAGCTTGGAGTTCAGGAGATTAAACACACACTGCACCACCGAGTATCCTTTAAAAATATGCACCAAAACTATTCAGTAAAGTAAAGAATCAAATAATTCATTGGTAATTACAAGGATAAATCTTTGTGTCAGTGACCTTGAACTCTCGCCTACTTACAGTCTTATTAAACATGAATCTGCCAAAGAGGAGGATTAGGACACAAAGAGGATTTTGTGCAATAATTTCCCCATTAGAAGCTGTTATCTCCAACCTGGTGAACTGGACACTAAGAAGAATATCTCACTGACTCTATAGGCTACAACTTTTTTCTCAACTGTGTGAGCTGAAGTGTGATGTATTGTATGTACTGTATGCACACAAAGAAAATCTATCTTCTGGTTTAAACTAAGTCCATTAGTATGTTTGGTTATGTTTTTTTGTCACTAACTTCCATCTATTGTTGGAATATTTCTCGAAAACGTGAGCAGTATGTTTTACAGGCCAGTCTTTCACGCTTGCTTTTCAGTGCAGGGGAAGGATGTCGCTGTAATATGAGGGATGGGGAGGAATTTGCACCTGGGCCACTTTGAAGCAGGTGGCAGTGACTGTCAGGTCTGTATACTACAAAATGCTTATGAGGGTGTGATTGACAGCTTCCCAAAAGGAATATTAAGCCTAATTGTTTTTTAAAAAGATGTATGCAGAAATGATCAAGGCCGCGGAGAGACAGCAGCCAGAAAAACAAAGCTACCAATTTACTTCTTTTCATTTCACTTGTTTATTCTGGTGTGACCTCGTCTAAACAGTTTGATCTCATCAGGAACAAAGAATGGATTAAGCAGAAATGAATGAAGAGCTTCACTCATGGTGAGCTGCAGTCTGGGCTCAGCTGATCCGCGAAAATACTCCCAAACTGAGAAAATACAAATCACATTTTGTGATTTTTCTAAAATTGTTAAATGTTAATGTAAACACTTGTTGGGATGTTTATGCAAAAATGATCCATATCTGAGACAATGCCGCTGAAAATCCCAACGCTGAATTGAGGTTTTATTTGGACCTATACGGGTTTGTCAGGTAGTCCTTAAAGACCTAAATGTAGCAAACTAGAGCACTATTAAACGTGTAAAAAGATATTTGTAAGTTGTGGTGCAAATGAAATAATATCGTTTCAGCACATGAAAACCGACCTGTGGGCACACATTTATACACATTTTAGATGTCCGTCTATTTCTATTTTATAACTTACACAGCCAGGTTGCTGAAACGGTATTAGGCTCACAGGTTGTATGATCTGAAATTGCAGCGAGAGAAATACTGTATTTTTAGACGACTAACTAAAACAATTATCTGTATTTAATTTGTAAAAACAAAAAAGAAAAAAAAACTTGTGGCTGATCGTGTCACTTGTTTCTATTGTGTTCCCGTACGTGTGAATCTATTGTTAATTCAGAAATAGGTAGACAATCAAAACCAACTGTATTCTACAATATTTAAATGTATTATTTTGTTAAATGGGGTTTTTTTGCAGTGTAATTTGGTGGTAAACCGTTAACTGCAGTGACATTTAAAGGAGACATCAGGGCATTTTACAATTCCATTAACTTTCCCAAGGTTGCTTTTTCTGTGGTCGCTCCGCCACAAAAACCTGTTGTAAAAAGGACAGGAAACAGTAGCTGTCCATTATCAGCCCTTTTTTTGAATCTATAATTGTAAACAGCATACCTCGACTCTGTATAAGGTGTCAAATACTGTCTGTAATTTTCTATCATCGGTAACAACTGTGGAGAGTCTCTGCGAATCAAAGTAATTACTGCTCAGTACAAACGCAAACGGCTGAACTGTCCTTCACTCACATGAGCACAGATCAGTTTAGGCCAGAAATTACAATACAAATCAACTTAACACAGAAATCAAACGAAGATGGGTTGTTGGGATGAACAAAAATTCCAGCAACTGGAGTTTTTTTTTTTAAATAGCAAAATTACCAAACTCGGCACTTTGTAGAAAAGACTGTGCCTGAAAAACAATCCCTAAATTGGAACTTGTTGTTGAATAATATGGCCAACAATGGGTTAGTGCGTAAACTTTCTTAATGTGCGGAATGGATGTGATAGTGTTTAAATAAACTAGGCCTACATATTGTGGGGGAGTCTCCCCTTTAAATTTGATTTGATTTTCCAGGGAAAATCTCTGTGAAAATATGGTCTACAGTCACAGCCTAATTAATAAATACAATGAGAATAATTTCCCACGCACTAAACGTGAAATAATGAAAAAATCCAATAAGACGCTGGAACGGGGTTCATGCACACCGATGGGGGTGTTTGCATTTTAACAATCGCAGGTTGAAAGGAGAAAGAGCCGCGATATGTCCCTCTGTATCAGATATCTCCACATGCAGGTATGAAAGGAAGTTATGTGGGACGGTCCACTCCTCAGTATCCCTCTCTGTCCGTTAAGCCTCAGAGCAGCCAATGAGGAGCATCAGTGCCGCTGGAGATGGCCTCGGGTGGCGTGAATACCTGCATCAAGGAGATCAGATTTTAGGAGATATAGGCGCCGTTCGTGGGGAGGAAGACAGTTTTTTTTTTTTTTTACCATACAAGGTTAAAGAAGATGGGGCACTGATTAACCAAACCCTGCGCATACCCCAGTGTTGGCGCGTAATACGTGCGTAAAAGCGCAGTGTCACTGCGCAGTGCTAAAATACAGATGTTCGTGGCTGTGTCCACATAAATAACACTTTGGTGCTTTCGTTGTCCACATATAAGCTTATAAGTGACATCTGGGCTGTAGCAGTTGTGATTGTCTTGCACATCTGTCACACATTCTTTGTCTGATCTGTCAGTGCCAACTACACATATAACTTTTTATTCCTGATACACAGCTTCGCACAGACTGTGCAAGTCTGCAATGGTTGTAGGTATTGTATAAGGCCAAAGATGGATGGCGGATGTACAGCAGCTCCCTGCTGACCCCGACTTAACATTCAGGCAGTTACTGGAGACAGAAGAACAGCTCAAAGTACTCCTGTAATAGTTCAATTCCGGAATTAGGTCTAAAATTAAAAAGACAATAGCTTTAATTAGTTTTTCTGTGTGAAAAAAAGATATTGATTGCCATCTGCCAACAACCCAAAATTAGACCCTTTTTCCCTTTTTTGACTTCAGTTCAGTCGCAGTGACATGGGCCTCCTTAACCCCGGAATACTCCTCTCCTTGTGTTGACATGCAGCCTTCAAGGTAGCTGTCACTTTGCCCTGTCCGGGAGTCACAGAGCTATTCATCATTGTTTGACAGGTGTTTTGGGAAAGAAAGTCATAGTGGCCCAGATGACACCTACAAGGTCTGAGCGTACAGCTCGAACATCTTGGGGAAGTTTGTGGAAACCCGCTTTACCGGCGACAATGCGCGGGAAAAATAACTTAAAAAAGAAACTGAATGGGTTTCGATTTACTGCATGTTTGCTCCTTCTTGTTTTATTATATTGTTATTCGTGTGCGTGCTCCCAAAACACACAAATCTGCCCGAAACTAGTCTGATATTGACAAAATGAGAAATCATTTATAAGTATTATGTGCAGGCTACTTTCATTTATTTAAACGCTGAGTGCCGTTTGGTCTGAAAAGAAGAGCGCAAAACATCCAGTTTGTATCCGTTTGTAAGAGAAAGCAAGGCTTGTTATGATTTAAAACACTAACTTATAGTGAATTTGTCTTTTTTTCTCAGCCAATCAGTCACTGATAGTAAACGTGTTGTTAATTCTTTTCGTTCTTAGTCAAATCGGACTGCTCTGTTATTGTTATTCAAGTAGAAAAAAATGTATCTGTCCCAATACTACACTTACATAATTATAAAAACCTGTAAATAAAATTGCCTCCAAATGGTGGTAATGCCTGATATGTTTTAATGTTTTTCGATCTAAACAGTCATTTAACACAAAATAACACATGTACATTTCAATTAGAAGTTGGTTTAGTCACCGTCACTTTCAGGCCAATGACACAAGAAACCGCCTGACACTGTACATGCCCACACTATAATGCATTATTTTTTTTTACATTGAAATAATGTAACGTATATGGTCAAAAGTGCTGAAATATCTTACCTTTACAAACACAGCAAGAAAAAAAAAAAAAAACACAACCTGTAACAGAGACAGTTAATATGAAACGTCAATGGAATATGCCTATTTCCAATCACTGCAGAGGTAGGAAGGCGCATGTAAAATATAAACCAACATAAGGTGACATTTTCAGTCTATTTAGGCCGCAGGGTCCCACAGTGGGGTTCAGAGGTCCTTGAGGGGCTCCCGAGTAAAGAGAGGAATACTTTAATGTTATTACTGTGTCACTCCTCAGAGGTTAACATATTGACATTTAATAAGGAGGTCCAGTCTCCCCGCTCAGCTACAGTTCAGACACTTGTGATTTTATTGTCTAAATCGTGAGAAATATCTTCTTTAACAGGGTTCCTTGGGACAGACTCTTACTACATGAAAGAAGGAGTCGGTTTAAAGTATTTGAGGATGTAAAAAAAACAAACAAAAAAAACTGTTTGGGAACCCCTGGTCTGGCCTGCACAGCACGATGAGGCAGTTCAATCAGAGACGCTGAGCAAACTAACAGTCCCATCAGGTCTCATCCTCTTGTCAGGAAAAAATATATATAGTTAGTTTGATTTCCTGGGAGCAAAATAATCAAACAAACAAAAAAAAAAAAGAATAAATACAGTCATCAAGTTCTCACTGATTCCCCGCACACGCCGAGAGTGTCCATGCAGGGAGGCAGTAGGCGTAGGGGTAATAGTAGGACGGCTGCAGGGAAAGCAGCGGGGGCCGCAGGATCTCTCCCGGGCTGTACTGTCTCTGGTCGTCCCGCACCAAAACTTTCACCGCCACCTTCTTCGCCGCCGGGGTCGACGCCATCAGGTCGGCGGCCATCTGGCGGCGTTTCGTCTTGTACCGGCGGTTCTGGAACCAGATCTTGACCTGAGTCTCTGTGAGCTTCAGAGAGGCCGCCAGGTCCGCCCGCTCCGGTCCGGACAGGTACCGCTGGTGGTTGAAGCGGCGCTCCAGCTCGAAGACCTGCGCATGAGAGAACGCGGCCCTGGAGCGCTTTTTCCGCTGTTTGGGCTGGTCCAGGCCCTTCTCGTCCAGGGTGCTGGAGTCTGGGGGGGAGGAGGGAGGGAGGGAGAGATGAAACATGCAAGTAAATTCCTGTATTTGTTTGTTGTTTTAACACAGCTGGAATCACGTGTGTTTTTTGGATGCGACTGGAACAAAAAATGCAAACAAGTGTGCACACTTGTACAGAAAAGTGTTTCCAGGTTCTTTAGCAAATTGTCAGAAATGATCTGCCACGAATGCACGACGAAAGGTCACTGGATGCTGTAGTTTTCAAATTAAAGTGGAAAATGTCTGATCTGAGTTTTTATTCAGACCTTAAGATCACAACTGGTGTGCAGATGTTTATTTAGTACGAGCTGGAGTTTATTTCCTTTAAACAGACTTAACCGCGTGTTTCTGGTAGTTTATAACGTTTCTCCAGAATTAAATCGTGCAAATGCAGAATACATGAATTTAAAGTCCTGGGGACTCCAATAAATCCACATCAGTTAGTCCTATAGTGACACAGTTTGATTATATGCGGTAGGGCATCCATTTATAACCGTGCGTAAAAGTAGGACAATTCGTGCGTAAAGGTTATCAGGATGCAAAGAGGTTTTGCAAATAGGCCTGATATCCCACAATAACACAATCAGAGCACTCGTTATGCTTCTGGAGAACTGTACCAGCAGTATTAAAAGGCTTTAAGTCAGATGTATCTGTTTTAAAGACAGAAGTTGCATTCAGTCGTTGTGCATCAGAGAGCCACACTTTATTTTTACTCTGTGTACAGTTTCATATTAGTCTTTCTGTCCTACTCACCCGTAGCATTATTGGGCTCACTGTCACTCTTTGCGTTTTCCGCAGCTGCAGACTCGTGGTCCGTCTCCTCCTGCAAACTCTCCTCCGGCACGTCCGACGCAGGGTCCCCGTCCTTCTCCGACTTGCACACGGCCGTAGTCTTGCTGTCGTCATCGCTGAGTCCCGAGTCCGAGTCGTAGCTTTTCTGGTCCGTCGGCTCACAAGCCTCCCCATCGTCTCTCCGAGACCCGCCGTTCATCTCCCCAAATATTTTCCAGCACGCCGTCTTGGAGAAGCACATGTCCAAATCTGGCAAGTGTCGGCTGTCGTCCTTTTTGTTCAGGATGGCTTGGATCGAGAAAGGCATCAGCGAGTTGCCACGAACGGCCATTTTCAAAAAAGCGAAGTTCTTCAAGTTGAGTAATTAACCGGGCCGGATAGTGGAGTAAATGTCAGTTCATCCACATTTTAGGCTATTCCCTCCTGCTGCCGCTTAACTTGTTTTTCCCTCCAGTGTTGGTTCCTGGTCGCATCCCCGCGGGAGAAGCCGTGGAAAGTTTCTGCTACATCCGCAGGCGCGATGCTTCTCCTCCGCATAGCTCTGCCATCAGCCCGGGCTCGCTCCAGTCTCCGGCCCTTTTCACCCAGTTTTTTTTTTTTTACCATCCACCCTCACCTGTGACTGACAGGCACTCCTCGCCGTCTCCTATTGGCCTGGAGAGGAGGAAAGCCGTTTCACGATTGGGCACTGTAAACGACGTCATGCTGCTTTCAACCGGGTGGGAAAAAGTTCAACACAAGTTTGGTCGAAGTTTTCACAGGAGGCTAAACTGACATGCAGGTTGCAACCACACATATTTATTTAAGCTGCAACTTCACCCAAAACAGGAGAGTAGACTGTAACTCTGCGTGGCTTCTCATAACAGCATTGCTCGGTGATTTTTTATTAATGATTCGTGATTGATTTGGCTGAAGTGGAGAATATTCTGTTCTGGTGATGTTCAAAATCCATGAAGGTAGATAAAGCAGAGTGCGGTGCGTAAGAGTCTGAACAGCAGACTTGAGCAGAAATCGAAAATAAAACGGGAAAGTCGTGTCTCCCATTTTCCCCGTATCACTTGAATGCAGCACCAGGACAATAAATTGTAGGATATGTCATCTTTTTACAACTTAACCCTTCATCATCCAAACAGGTCTGCTGGGAGTCCGGTGCGTAACGCGTAATGGGACGCTTCTGTTTTTTTCTTTGGTGACATTTTGCGCAATGACCGACGTCTTTGAAGTTGTCACCGATTCACTCTGTCTACGTTATCTTTAAAGTCAGTGAAGTGCTAATTTTTGTCACTTCCTTGGCAGCCTGCACCATGAACCGCCAGGTAGGCCTCATCTTGTGCGCAAAACGAATTCTTGCATTGAACAAATAAGTTAAATAAGGAATAAGTTCACCTGCTGTTGACTCTCTGCAGTGTGAAATGTTTCATTAAACGGGGCGAAATATGTGATAACAGGTAACAGGCTACTTATATATTCGTTCCAGCAGCCGCCAGCTTGTGCAACGTCCCATAAACACTGACGTCTCCTTCTGGAAATAAGAGTCACATGAAGAAGTGAAATGATCTCGTTTTATTAGCAGAATATTTGATGTGTATATGAGCATTAATTCTCTGGCTGGCATTTTTGCTGCGTAAAAGTAAAATTTGTTTTCTTTCACCTGATGTGGCTCCTCTGGTTATATAACTGTAAACGTGCTGCATTATTAAGCGTTATTTACATTTCTATTAAACATGCAGTGTGGAACTCAGCTCTGTCTCAGGCTCTAAATGGACAAACATCTGTCGCTGCAGGTCCGGACTGTGACCTCTGCACGTCGCCGGTCCACAGAGCAGAACTCACAGCTCAAAAGAAATACAAATTCAAATGCTTTTTAAGATTATATTTTAGTAAATAACATAAACAATTAGATTTCTCTCGGCTCAACGCGGAAGGGGAGATATTTTATGAAGCTGATATAACATATTTAATTGAACATTCTTATACTTTATACAGCCTGTATAAAATGGTGTAAAGGCTTCTATGTATATTTATATGAATTATATAATTAGGTGTTTCTGTGGCGTTGTTCCATCTGGTTTATCAGTCTCTATTCATTTAGTCAGATTTAATAAATTACACTGAAAATATTCAGACTTAATTATTTAGTGTGTGACAGAGGTACGAATTGATCAGGCTGTCAGTGTTTAATAGATAATGTGAATTAAAGTGGCCTGATGACTTCCGTGCTGCATCGATTAAAATGTAAGTATTGTTTAATAAAAAGAGGCATTGCATAATTAAAATTATTTTAATTATTATTATTATTATTATTAATAATAATAACAATAATAATAATAATACTGTTGAGTTGTTCGCTGATAGACTTTCTGAACTAAAAAAGGTCACAGCTGATCAGAAAAAAAAGATTAAAATCGAAAACTGAGGAAAATCTCAAACGCCTTCAGTCCAGAAGATGAATGATGTCGCTAACAGCAGATTGGCTGCTGAAAAGAGTGAAACTGATTTTTAACTAATGAATCATTTGAATTCCCATTAGTCTTTTAAGGATTTGGCGAATAAACCTTCAGACTGAGCGCGCCGAGAGACAAACGACCTTTGGAAGATTTCTTTTTTTAAAATATCTTCATTCTATCTTCATTATTCCTTGTTCCCTGAGGCCTAATTCATATGGGTTTGCTGCTAGAGCTCTGTGAAAAGGCGGATTAAATCTATGTGTGTTTTAAATGTTAACCCGTTAAATAAAAGATAAATAACATTATTTATCTTTTCTTTTTATCTCCGTGTCACTTGGTTTGTGTATAGTTACACACTAAAAAAAAAAACCACAGATGGTGTTTAAATCATCGAGTTCATTAAGATCTGTGTTAAGCCTCCTCTAAATTATGAGAAAAAATTGAAAATAAAATTATACTAATTTATACTAAGTTCAGTGCTGCTCACACCTTGTGCAAACCTGTTGCGTGCATACATTATACCATCTAGTGGCCACTGAAAATACCTCTTCAGCTTGACTTTTTGACATCTTATGCCTTTGGGGTCAGCTCAGAAAACACCCTCAGCTGCACTCTGTGTGATAGAGCCAGCACCATTATTAATGACCTTATTAGGATATTATAGAAATCATTTATGTATTTCATTTTGGCTGCAAAGGCCGATGCTTCTTTGAAAAACTTCTCTAAAACACCTCAACACTCTGACCTGGTTGAACTGTCTCGTCCTGCTCTGTGAAAATGAAATTATGTGGCATTGTCTCAGGGCTGGATGTGTCCTTGGGGATGAAAGCCTGCATCACCACAAGCAATGAAAACACAACTGGAAAAGGGAAAAGCACAAACCGCTGACACCGTCTGGATAATGTCACACACCCTGCCCTTGTTCTTTTAGAAACTGCTCATTCCACCCAAAGCCAATACAAAAGTGGTACATCACATAGTTTTCTTTCCTCTTGTATTGTAGAACTAGCTTTCTCTGTGTTCTTCGTGCTTTTTTTTAAATATACCATACTGTTGTCTTTTGTCCTAAAACCAGTCTAACTGACCCGTGCATATGCAGGGCTTTACCCTGGGAAAAATGGAAAATAAATAAAACTGTCTGCCAATTCTCCAACAAAGTGAGCCAGTGTGTGCCTATCAATGTGATGTCAAGCAGAGCTCCACCGGTTACTCTGTGTTTTGGTAACCACACTGCAAGGAAGAGTAATAAGCAGTAAGTAGCTGTAAGTGGCAGGAAGTGTAAACAGCAGCACCAACGGCATGGTTTTCATTCAGACAACTGCAGGGGCATTTAAAATAGATACACAGCTGGTTTGTTGTCATTCACAGGGGTACAGTTGAGTTGATCATCTGAGCAACTGAAAATGTATTTATTTATATTTTTATTTATTCAAATGCTGTTGTGAAAATGCATCTAACTGCATCTGTAACGTATAAAACGTATGCATGTAATTATGAGCGCATGAGGAAATTATTATTGTTACTATATGACAACTCATATGTAGCAAATAAAGTAAATAAAGAATAGCTTGTACGAGCAGCATCATTGAATGGATAGTGCATTGAACTGTAACATTTATTGGCATATTAGATTGCCTGTTCTATTTATAGAGGATGAGACTAATGAAAGCCAGTTCATGAGCATGTCAGAGAGCTTATCTATTCTGAAACTAACAGGGAGTCACCGGAGATCAGGGCTGGATGAAGAATGGAAATAACCATTAACCATTAAACTAATACTCTACTACAATTATTCACGGTTTAACTTAAGTAAAAGTACAGAAGCTTTAGCAACTAATACTAATGACCAACTAATGCACAATGGCCCCTCTCAGTGTATTTATATATTATTGGATCATTATTGCAGAAATGTTACAGTAATGTTATTTTACTATAATTTTGTATTGAGGTTGAGCTCGTTTTAACTACTTCATAATGTACTGTTTAATCAATAATGCTGCCTCATATTTTATAAACTGATTCTGTGTTTGTTTGTTTTTTAATGTAAAATCTAAAGTAAAGTATGTAGTTACTCCAGCTATCAAATCTTTGTAGAGGAGTAGAAGAATAAAGTAGCATAAAATTAAAATACAAGTACCTCAAACAGTACTTAAGTATTTGATTTAGTTACGTTCCAACACCACTGGAGACTTCGAGTTGCAGTGATATGAGATGTAGCATTCTGGATATTAGTAATACTTAACTACTACTAGAAAATGGTCATTTCATTGCAGCAAAGCTCATACTTATTGTCTTGTGAGATTAGATTTTGTTCAACTGTCATTAAATGTGAAATCACATTTGGCAGAAATTAAATAATATATATATATATATATATGGATAGATACAAAAGGTGCAGGGCTGCAAATAATGATGATTATTATTAATATATTATTTCATTATTGATTCATATGTAGAACATTTATTAGTTGCCTCACATGGTGTCTTCAGATGTCTTGTTTTGTCCTACCAACTTATTGTAACCACCCCCCCAAAAATGAATTTGTACAATGACAGAAAACTGAGAAAAGCAGTAAATCCCCACATTTGAGGAGCTGGAACCGGGGACGTTTGGGTATTTTTTATTAATTTTATTAGTTTTTATCAAAATTGTTTAGGAATGATTGATCATTTCAGCACCGATAATAGCTTAACAAAAAAAAGAAAAGAAAAGAAAAGAAATAACATAAAAAAGACACTTTACTGTTTATATAAACCCTTTGTGTCTGTTTATAGTCAACATGAAGCTGACACTGTCTGTTTGTAGACAGGAGGGCTCCCTCTGCTGGTGAGGACGAGAACCTGCTGTCATGGACAAAGGTGATCTGGAAAGATGAGCTGCTCCCTACATAATAGCTGTGCCGGGAAAAGGTATATTTTGTCTTTTTTTTCTATCTCCAATGACACAATTCCTTAATATCCCCAGACTCTTTGTCTGCTCTCCTCTAGTTCAACACCAGGGTGAAATTCCCACCACCTTTCCGGTAAGGAAATAAACTTTAATGGCATATTAGGCTATTACGTTTGCCTCCACCCAACAGCCCCCCCAGCCCCTTTTCCTGCCTCTTCTTATAACTTTAATCTCGTGTTTTAAACAGAAATCTGGCCTGATGCAGCAACATGCTAGTCGCCTTGGCAACATCTCTGTTTTCCCTCCTCTCCAGGGTGTGTTTATGACAGGTCTTGAATTTTTTTTTTCTTGCGTGCTGGTATGAAGGAGGAGGCTCACAGCACGGCATACATACATATACCCCACCCCCCCACCCCTCCCTCTTCTGATGTGAGAATAGCTGCCAAATTGTGTTCAGATGGAGCAACACATGAGAGGGCACTGCCAAGACCCATTTGCAGTAAATGCTCCCAAAATGCCCTCTAGATTTCTCACCAAATATCAGATCCACCATGATAGCACCCTTAATCAACCTCAACATTGGAAAGTGGAAGGAAAGGGAAGAGAACGGGGGGGTTACTGCCAGCTTTAAGTATGCTTTTAGTCTCCTAAGTTACGATTGAACCCTCTTTCCCAAAGAAAAATTATCCTTGCATGCGATGGAGCACTAAATGGAAGAGCCCTTGGGACAGAACACTTAATACAGTAAATGGAACCAAGAGACAAGCAGAGAGAAGTTCCTCCGTGTGTTGGAAGCTATTCAAAACATCTCAGCAATGGCTGCATTACTGCAGACACAGGAGCACAAGTGGGGGGACAGCCTGCTGTTACAGTCCAATTAATGTGTGTAGATAGTGCAGACGTGATTTATAGTTTATTTTTGGCACCGTCGTGCTGACAAACGAGCTTCCATCCGCCTCTGGCACGCAACAGATAATGCATGCAACTCAAGCACATCATGAAAGGCTTCTCAGGTCTGAAGGGCCTTTTTCGCTGCCTGTTCGGGTCTCTTGTCTGCTCCGCTCACGCCTAAATAAAGACGTCCTTCAAAGCAAGCAGACCCCCTTTCAGTGGTTTCATGTCACATGCAAAATACCACTTTTGAACATACGAGGTGATGTAGTTATGAAAACTTCAAGGACCATTTAGAAATTCTTGAGATATTTTGGGCCTTTTCTTTTCAGAAGGTGAAGTGGGTGTCAAAGACTGCAGCTGCAGCTTCTGGTTTATGAAGACGAGCTCTGCTTTTTTTGGGATATTTGCAGATGAAGATTTACCTTACTGACAGGTGTTTACAGTTTAGAGGGCAGGAGTAGTGCTGTAGCTATCGATTATTCCGTTTTTCGAGGCGACGTCTCAGAATGTCCGACCGTCACTGCGACCATTTAAAACGGACAGAAACAGAAAAACCTCACGTCTTCTTTAAACGATTAACTGATTATCAAAATAGCTGATGATCTGCTTTGTCCACTGACTAATCGACTAATCATTTCAATGACCTAAAGGATAAGGCTGGTGTTATATATATTTTTTCACATATTTCAATCAAATTGTCTTATTCTGTCTTCACCACACAGTCTGTGGCCCATTCACTGAAATCTGTAACAACTAGTTACAAATATAAAGTTATAAAGGCTAAGTGATTTCTTAAAACAGCTGGGCACTGTAGTTTCTATCAAAGTTTACTCAAACAGGAGTAAATGGTGCATTTGTTTGGGGACTATTTTCAGCAGCGGATTAATACACTTTTTGGGCACGGTGTCCATTTACAGCAGCAGGACACTCAAACTATTGTGTGTGTGTGTGTTCGTGGTGATGAAGGAACCTGTTACTTTGTGCAACCCTGTGGCTCACTGGTGAGATTAAAATAGTTTTTGGACAGAAATTAATATTTGTCAGTTTTGCTCTTTTCATGGGATTTGTTGATAATAAGATGAATATAGAATCAACAAAGTACAAACACTTCATTACTGTACTTAAGTAGCTGTATTCAGGTATCTGTGCTTTACTTGAGTATTTATTTTTCTAACAACTTTTCGCTTTTACGCAAATATAATAATTGTACTTTCTACTTCCTACATTTTCATTACCTCATTGCCCTCCAAACATCAACACTGGTGTATATCACGCATGAAAAAGACGTAGCAATGTGACAAAACAAAGGTTGAAGCCTCGACCCTATTTGAAGTTTCAGTTAGCTTTTCACAGCAACAGCAGGTATGTCCTTCACTGAAACCAAGAGAGTACTTTTTACTTTTATACTTTCACTGGAGTAAAGAGTTTGTACCAGTGCTTCTACTTTTACCGGAGTCTTTTTTTTTACTTGAATAAAGAATATGTGTACATCTGCCACCTCTGAATATCACCAGCCTTTTACTTTAAAGACCCTGAAAAACAAAAGAGATTTCTTAATGTTTCTGTCTGTTCTCTTGATCGTGGGTTGAAGTGGACGGGGCTCAGTTGGAAAAAAATTGATGTCACATACTTAATAGCACCAATCAGTTTAGCAACCTTTGAATCAAAATGTGGTGACAGTTGTCTGTTTTGTCAATCAAATGTGATCAAATCACACACACACACACACACACACACACACACACACACACACACACACACACACACACACACACACACACACACACACACACACACACACACACACACACACACACACATTTAGGACTGCAACTGATGATTACTTTGTCAAAAAAAAAAAAAAACGGCTGTAAGAATGTTCCACAGCCAAAGGATACTTCATATTGTCTTCATATTGCTTTATTTATACAACCAACAGACCCACATATATTCAGTTTACTATCATGTGCAAAGAAAAGCATCACATCCCTCACATGTGAGAAGCTGAAACTGGTGAATATTTTGTATTTTTGCTTGAAAAAGGACAAAAATAATCTATTGTTGACCCAAATAGTTGCAGCTCTACACATAGCCCAGATGACGGTTTGTTCATTTATGACAAATGGATGAATGTTTTTTTCTTAACTTTAAATTGAAAATGGAGCATCCAGAAAAGAATAACCTCAACTTTATAATTGTTATAACCCAGTTCTTTTCTTTTCTGCTTACAGCAATGTGTTATTAGAATTGTAAAACTTGCTTTTCAACCATTGCTGCACAAAGCAAAATGTCAAGTATGAAATGCAACAAATCTACAAATGATGCACTTTTCAATCTAAAGCTAAGACTGAAGTTAAAAAGACCAAACATATGATGCTATACATACTGAAGCTACTCAGTTTGAACCAGAAATGTTGGTCAGTAAACACACATTTTAGAAATATTCCTGCCCTCTGGTGTGTATTTGTTGCAGCCTCAGATGCCAGATCCAAATCTCGACTGAACTGCAGAGCTGTTTCAATACTGCAAAAGAATGAAAAAAAAAAAACCTTTAAGACTCTGAGCCACCACCCCTCCCTGCTGCCTGTCGCTGGCTATTTCTATGACTCTCATATGAAACACTTCTGACGTTAAACACCTGTTAACTTTTATGTCTTGTGAGAGGAGTGGCTGAATGGGAGAGCATTATGTTCAGCGCTGGTCGGTCTGGCCAAATCCCCAGTAGAGGAAAGACCACTCCCAGCGCAGAGAGGCAGCAGCAGGAGTGAGTGCGCCCCCCTGATCCCTGCAGCCTGCGAGGATCCCCTCAGCTCAAAGCCAACAGTTACCTCTATTCCACTTGACAGCTGCGTGAAACCACCATCTTTCCACAGCTCTCTGCTGGATAAACTGCCCTGCTACCCACCGGCAGACCTGCTTAAGAGGCAAAGTGAGGAGATGTGAGGAGGTTAGAGGCGGCTTAGGTTGTTGGTGTCTTGTATCATAGTTTTTTCTTTCACATTTAGATGCCAGTGCAGTGTGTCCTGCCAGAATCTGAATAACCTGCACATCCCATCATCAACGGTCCCAAACTGTACTGTAAGACCGTAAAGGCAAGATTACGTGAATGGTGTTATAGTTTATTTGTTGTATTAATGTAGAAGTACTTGCACTTAATTTGAGTAATTTCATTTCATGCCACTTTATACTTCGACTCTATGGCAATTTGGGGGCAAATATTGGTCTTTTTACTCCTCTACATTTATCTGACAGCGTTAATTATAAGTTACTTTGCAGATTCTAGTTATTAACACAAAATATAATCAACTAATAACTGATGATGTAATACTAAAGATTAAACTACCAGCAGTATATTAAGTAGTTACAACTTTTACCAGCTGCACACACTAATGCATCACTAATTATAATCCGATAATAAAATATATGTGATTCTGAAATGGGCCATACTGCATAATGTATAACTAACTGTATAATAAAAACTGTACTTTTACTTTTGCTACTACTGACGCTACTTATGTACTTTTACTGAAGTCAAATTCTGAATGCAGAACTTTTACATATACATATACACATCTACACTGTGGTTTGGCTACTTTTACTTAAAGCTGCAGTAGGCCTTTAAATGAGAATACATTTTTGTCAAAACTGTCACTATATCCTGACAGTAGAACATGAGACAGATAATCTATGAAAGAATCAGGTTCCTCTGGCTCGTTCTAGGGCTCCTAATGGCATTTGCAAGAATCCACCAAGCCTGAACAAAAACAACCAATCAGAGCCGAGAAAGATAGTTGATTGTTGAGTCTCATTGCCAGGTCTCCAATACCAACAATGGGGATTAGACTCAACAATTGACTATCTTCAAGCCACCAACCCAAACCTCTCTACGCTCTGATTGGTTGTTTTCTTTCAGGTGTGGTGGAATCTTGAAAATGCCTTTAGGAGCACTAGGAGTAATCAGAGGAACCAGATTATTTCACAGATTATCTGCCGCGTGTTCTACTGTCAGTTTCAGCAAATATGAAAAAGAGTTATTCTTCTAAAAATTACCAACTGCAACTTTAGGTAAAAGATCTGAGTACCTGTACCATCAGAGCATGGATCAGTCATGTGACGTACAGATCCCCATTAAGTTTGCAAAGCAACATTACCACAATCTCTTTTTTCAACATACTGTCAACCCTTATTTATTAGATTTAAAACACACTATGCTGTCCCACCTCCTAATGTGTATTGATAATCATAATTTCTGAATCAATCTGCAGTTGACTGCAGAAGACTGCTCTGAAAAATTGACTCTTTTTATTTTTATTTTTTTTAACCATTCATGAATTAAGCACTGTAACATTGTACTTGCTAAAAATGTTGTGAGGGGGGGGGGCAGATACCTCCGTGTACCAAGGCTGATGTGTCATCCCCTCTCTCTCTCTCTCTCTCTCTCCCCCCCTTTCCTGTCACTCTTCAGCTGTCACTATCGATTAAAGGCAAATGACTAAAATAAAAAATTATTCTCAAAGTAGCTGCTGATTAATCTCCTGTATATGCAGTATGACTGACAGTTTCAGCTCTAGCAGTATGGTATGTTTTGTTTTTATTTTAATTTATTATTCTTTTTTTTTTTTAACTTTGAGTAAATATTTTATTTTGTAAAAACTATTAGACTATTAGGCAATATTTAGGTAACACATGGATAGAATAAAGCGTGGTGTGCTGGAGTTGTACGATGTGTTTGGAGGTTAAACTCACACTGGCCTGAACCTCACAGTGTGTGTTCTCAAGTCAGAAACTGAGTATCTGTTATTGTAGATTATATCAGACAAATAAAACTGAGGGTAAAAGTTTGGATTGGTTGTGATTGAAAGCTGACAGTGCTTTCCTTAGTGTGTGGAAAAATACTTTCAGGTACAGTAGATTCAAACCAACAGATTATCATCTTGCGTTGCTGCTTTCTCTACCTTTCTAAAAACCTCATTCTTGATGTGAGGTCCCTGCTGAGCTTAAAGCGGTCCTCCATCTCATAAAACATGCTGCCTATAAATCAGTCTAATGTGCCTCAAACTGCTGATACTCAGCAGTAGAACTCTACTTGGCAAATTCAAAAATCATTTTGGACTACAATGCAAACGACTATAATAAAAATGACGTCTCAAGTCGCTCCAATGGCATCAGTGAGTGAAAGGAGCGCTGTTTGTCTGCCAGACCTGGTGGCTAAATGAAAGCTGATCCAAAACTTTAAATGAGAGCTGTTGGGCTAATATTTTAAGGCTTGGATTGCAGCACCAGGAAATACCTGAGAGAGGTACACCTTAAAGGAATCAAATTTAGCAATCCGCAGGAATGGTTGGAAAACTTTAAGCAGAGAACTCTCTGGCTTTCCGTAACCTCCCTCCGTGCTGTTTGAATCCCGTAAGTTCAGGTGCAGCGATTAAAGCCTCCTAACGTGTTAATGATGGTGGAATATTTCATTCTGAGTTTGTCAGTTTTATCCCCCATTAGCAGGCAGGAATGTCCCCTCCTCTTCTCCGCTCCCGGGTGATTGGTTAATGTCTTTGGCTATTTACACATCACAGACAGCACATCCATTAAGGAAACACAGAGAAGATAACATTCGAGACATAATAGGGGTCAATTAATAAAAATCTGTGCACTATTTTATCTTTTCATAAACAAAGATGTCAGATTTTAAAATGTGCAAAGTTTTAAAAAACAGAAGCAACACAGTTTAGGTCTTTGAAGTTGTAAAGCTGTGAAAATCTATGAAAAATATAATTTCCGTATATTCTGGACTAACTAACTTAATTTGTTACTTAAAAATAGACCAATTTACCAATTTTCATTTCTAGTACTGCAACTACATTTGTGGAGCAAAAAAAGAAACTGATTACAAGTCAGAACCTGAAGTGATTTATACTCGCTGGAAACAATAAAAAAAGGAAGCAATATTCAGTATTTTTACATTTATGAAACAAAAACATTAACAGGTAGGCAAGATATCTAACACCATTATATTGGTAAACAGTTAACTCTAAAACAATTCAAATAACTATAGATTACCTCAATAGTAAGAAACAGTTCTTTGTCTGCATGTTATGAACATTCACTTTGTAGATTAACTGCTCCTGTGCAGTTGTTTTTCCTGATGTGAGTGACTAATACTGCTGTTATTTTCAACCCAAAACTACAAATAAAAACAACTTCCCATACCTCCTGAATACTAAGTATAAAAACAAAAACTTTAAAAAAGTGAGAGGAAAACACCTCCTTTCATTCACAGAATGAATATTAAATAATAAAGTCACAATGAACCCTAGACGCTTCACAGTGATTTCTATGTACAATAACGTCAGATAACGTTTAAATGTGGAACAGTTTTGTCTGTAGAGGTGAAACAGTCTCAGCAGGAACTGAGACACACTCCGGCCTGATTTTAATTCGCTCTCTTTATCTCAAAGCACGACTCGGCTGCACATTAGGCCTTTGATTGGCCTGAAATCCTCTGGTTCACTGGGCATTACTGAATAAACGGAGGAATGATGAAGCCTGATCCAAACCATATGGGCGTAGCGCGGTAGAAGGTATTCTGGGGGGATTCCTACACAGATCCTCAGGTTTACACTCAACTATCAGAGGAGAGTGTATAATACTATCCAGAGCTTTTCAATATCTACAGTCAATGAAGCAGAAACAGCTTTACGTGCTAACTGACTGTAGAGACTCTTTGACCCCTGACAACAAAACTGACTTGGATATGGAGTGCAGAGAAAACTCTGCTGGGGCAAACCAGTCCACCGCTGTCAGAGGTTTTTTTAGCGTTTGGCTCGCTTGGAAGGGGGCTCCTCCGATTTCTGTCCTCCCCGCGTTCGCACCGCAGGGGGGCTGGCCTCCCGTTTACGGCCCCCCTTCGCCGCCGCTGCTGCCTGGCCCCTCGTCCCGCTACAGGAGGGAAACAAGGAGCAAGTGTCAGTCCGTTTGTCTCGAGTGTCATGTTTAAGAGCTGTAAAAATGTGTCTTTGTTAATTCAAGAGTTATTCATGAGAAGTGTTGCAATAACCAGCGCTCCTTTATTACATGTAAGCGCACAGAGTGGAGCTTTGGCGTGTCCACATTCCCCCTTGAATAGAGAAAAGATGGATTTCTAAAAGACTCCTTTAAGACTTTGGTAATGTTCAAAAACAAAATAAAAGAACATTTATGACCAAATAAATTAAAAAAGAAACAAAACCCTAGAAAAACAAGGGAGACATTTTCTCACAGATATGATTTAAAATAAATGTATATATATTTGCATACTGCAGTAATGGAAATTCATTTAGTCTCCTCCCTTAAAAGGTAGAGTGTGTAACATTTATATTGGCAGAAATGGAACAATATAGGTCATTAGTGTATAATGGCCTGAAAATAGGAATGGTTGCGTTTTCGTTCTCTATGTCTATAGAGGGAGCGGATCCTCTTCTACAGGATCCACCATGTATCTACAGTAGCCCAGGATGGACAAACAACACTGGCTGCAGACAGATGGCCACTGAATCCTACACACTGGTCCTTTAAATATATAGGAATTTATAAGGTAACTTTATTGAGGAAATGAGATTTAGAAAAGCTGCTGTGTTTTGAAAAAAGGATGTTCCACGTTTTTAATGATGGCTTAAGATAAAACTAAACAATGTATTTTTGTACTGTGATATGTTTCGTTTTGATACTCATTATTGTAGAAATAACCCTGTTTTGTACAAACATAAGTGGGCATGCAGTGCATAAAAACCATGGTGTGAAACTTAATACATCTATTTATTGAGTACCCAAAGTCTATCCCTAAAGTACTCTCAAAAGAAAGAAAAACATTACATTTTCAAATCAAATCAAATTATTCAAGTTTTTTTTTTTTTTATAGACAGTGATCCAGTACTTGCAGTATAATTCCAGATGTTTAATATTCCTTCATTTAAAACAGCTTAGGTCAAAAAAGGATTTCTTATTTTTATTTTGGGACTCAATACCTCAAAAACATTTTAAAATTCCAGGAAAACGTTTGGTAAAATGTTCTCTTTCACAAAGCAGCGACCCAGCAGTAGGTTTTTGGTCGGATTCCCCTTTAAGCTCGTTGGTTCAGCTGAACCTCAATGAGACAAACTCACCGCGTGCCAGCTGCGGTCTCCTCTTTACCGTTCTGTCGACTTGCCCGGGTGGATGGTTTACTTGGCTTGTTTCTGAGGAGCAATAAAAACAAATATGAAACAACAGTTGTTGCTTTAGTGCTAAATCATCCCTGCCCCCGCTTTAATTTAATAGGATGTGACAGCGATGATGCCTGCTGGGTGCAAACATCGAGCCCTAAAACAATCAGAGGCTCATTCATCACCGCTGCCAGTGTCTCAGTCCGCTGTAGGAGGAAATCTTCTCTGATTTCCTCTGCAGATGTTCTGGTGATTGGTTGTCATCGGCCATGCTTTTAAGATTTAATTGATCTCATTCATTCTAATTACTTGATTTTATTTCATGTTTTTACTATAAAAAACTCCTGTCACCAGATAATGAAGATCTAATAAAGTCTGAACTGTGGGTCCTGATACCGGAGTTCAGTCGGTGTTATCGTTGTTATTATGGTTCATTTGTGTCCATTAGCTGTTAAATTACCTTTCAGCTTCCATCCGAGCTGCTGAGCGTGTGGTCGCTCTGGTTGCAGTTCCTTTTTCTT